TTCAAGACCCCTTGAAGGACAGTCAGTTACAATGTGTCAATTTCTGGTGCACAGCACAGTGTCCCAGTCATGCATATACACACATATATTTGTTTCCATATTCTTTCTTATTAAAGGTTATTACAAGATATTGGACATAGTTCCCTGTCCTCATTATCTTAGAAGCAGATGTTAAGGGGAGGGCTGGGGTGCAGATGGTTTTTTGGGGCGGTGGCCCCGGGAAGCATAAAGGACAGGAAAGTCAAGGGACAGAAAAAGGCAGCCTGAGGCTGCTGTGACTCTCTGGGCTCAGCCACGCTGAGGACACACAGAGAACACACTTGAGAATGACCATTACGGGGAAGCTGGGCTCTCTAACCACTCCCCCTGGTCTTCAGGGCCTGAGGGCTGCCCCTGGAGACACTGAGCATCCAGCACTTCAGGACTGTCCGGAGTGGGCTGAGCAAGCATGGGTAGCACTGAGAATCGTGGCAGAGGACGAGGTGCGTGTGCTCCACCTGGGGGGCCATCTTGGCGCTTGGCCTGGCTCCCCGGCAACCTTGGGGGAACTCGGGGGGGCTAAGGGCCGCCAGGCAGGGCATCCCTAGCATCTGTGCCCCTCCTTTGCAGTGATAAGAGGGCTGACTGAGCACCGTATTAAGGGCTGAGCATCTCATTTAGTCTGCGTGCACCAACCCAAGAGGAAGCCAAGGTTTCACGAGGTGACATGAGCAGGAGAGCCAGAACGCCAGCCTGCGCCCAGCTGAGCCTGGTGTGGGCTGAATCTGGTCTCCCCCAAATTTACGTCTGAAAGCCTTAACCCAGCGCCTCAGCATGTGACTATGTGGAGACATGGTCCTTAGAAATAATTAAGGTTAAATGAAGTCATTAGGGGCACCCTAATCCGATAAGGCTGGTCCTTATAAAAGGGGAAATGAGGGCACAGAGACAGACGTGCACAGAGGGAACCCGAAAGCCCAGGAGAGAGGCGTGCAGACCCAGGCCACGGAGGGATCCTTCCCTCACAGCCCTCGGAAGGAGCCAACTCGGCCAACACCTCGATTTCGGGCTCCCCGCCTCCAGAACTGGGAGGTAATGAAGCTGTCATTAAGCCCCCAGGCTGTGGTCCTTGCTTACAGCAGCCCTCACACGCTTACTCAGAGCTGGTGTGGCTGACGGCTCTGCTGGGCTGTCTCATCTGAAAGCAGGATGACAGTTCTTACCCTGCGTATGGTCGTAGGTGATGTGAGGATTCGCTGGGCTACTGCCTGCAAAATCTTAACACACAGCACTTGATAGTTATTCCTACTGGGCACACATCAGGCCATGATTGCTGGCTGATGAGAGGGAGCAGCAGATGCACAGATGTCAGAGCCGTCCCCGTGTCCAAGGATAGCTTGTCAGGAGATGAGGGAAATACATTGAAAGGTGGAGGAATGACTTGGTTTCTATAGAAACCTGGGCCCCCAGGTGCCCTGTGTGGGCTACCTACCCAGCTTAATTAGCATCCTCCACCTCCTCAACTAGGAAGTGGATAAGGAGATGCACGGACCACCTACACACCCTCTTTGAGATGCAGGGACCTGAGTTCAAAGGAAGGAGGTTGGGTAGCAGCCTTGGTGTAAAGTTTTCAATCTGCATCTATTTTCCCAGGGCCCCTCCTTTGTCCTCTTATCCCGGGGACTCCAGAACCCTTCAGGACTCCAGTCCACCCCCTGGGACTTGACAAAGACTATGACCTCTGCCCAGCCCTGCACAGATGTGACAGGTCCCAGGGCGCCAGGAAGAGCTATTTTGGGCACTGATATTTCACTCTCAGAAAGCTGGGAATCACTGCAGGGAATCAGGAAGAATTCCTTTCTCTTCTGGGTGGCCTGCCTTCCACTGCCAGTGGGATGCCTTTCCTTTTATCATATTCTAAAATACCATTTAAAAATAATTCAGGAATGAGCACCACTAAATAAAAATTTAAAACTTATGCCTAGAAGAAAGACTGGAAGATATTGCCCTAAAGGTTGCAGGGGTTATCTTTTGGGAAATTGTTTTGCTACTCAATTTTACAACTTCCTATTCAGCATTTTTGAAGGTTCCATAGTGATCTAAGGGTCGTTAATAAATGTTGACCCCTTATGTGTCAGGCACTGTTTTGTATGAGGGAATTATTGATTTGTTCCCATTTTTCAGATGAGGAAACTGAGGCTAAGAGGAATTAAATAATCAGAGGGATTAAAATTCTGGCAGCGAGTCTGGAATTTGAACATGGATGTGTTTGAATTGAAAGGCATGAAATGAATTAGCCTCTACTGTCCCTTTGATAATGGTGGTGAGAGGCAGGGAACTTTGTTTTACTTACTGGTAAGTAAATGACAATTTTTTAAAAAGCTAAGAAACTAAAGGAGATGATAAGTAGATAGACAGATGGGCAGATGATAGGTGTGAATGTGTGTACATGGAGGCAAGAAGGTAAAATCTTTAAGAAAGCCAGAAAATATACACAGGATAGTGTTACAAAGAGATCTCTAATGCCTCCAATGACAGCAAAGACCATATCTGTTAGGTGAATACACTGTCTACTTTCTGGCCAGTAAACCTGAGGGCTAGAGCAAGGTATGGCAAACTAGGGCACATAGGCCAAATCCAGCCCACTGCTTGTTTTTGTAAATAAAGTTTTATTGGAAGCCAGCCAGGCCCATTCTTGAAGTCTTTGGCAGAGTTGAGTAGTTATGACAGAAACCACGTGGCCTGCAAAGTCTAAAATTCTTATTATCTGGCTCTTTACAGAAAAAAATTAAGTTGCCGTTATGTGGGATGAGGAAGGGTAGAGATCTAAGGTACAGCATGGTGATTATAGTTAATAATAGTGCACTGAATGCTGGACATTTGCTAAGATAGTGGACAGCAGGTGCTCTTAGCACACAAGAAAGGTGACCCTGTGAGGAGATAGTATGTTGATTAGTTTGACTATAGTGTCATTGTGATATATATATATATATATATAAAATCATCATGTTGTACCCCTTAAATACATAAAATTTTTCTTTAAAAATAGCATTTAAAAAAAAGTTTGCCTACCCCTGTCTAGAGCAACACTTCATGATATTAATGTACGTATGTCCCCCTGAAGAATCTAGTCAAAATGCAGATTCTGATTCGGCGGATCTGGGAGGGGCCTGAGATGCTGCCTTTCTAACGAGCTCCCGAGGAGATGCTGATGCTCCGGGTCCACGGACCACACACCTGGGACTGAGCGTGTAACAAATATATCATATGTTTTCATCCAGAAAGGGGAATGAACCAACTGAGCAAAACCTCCAGCCACCACATATTACACTCGCAACACAGATCATTTGGGATGTTTATTTGTCAAATCAAAGGATCCTCCATCTTCCAAAAAGCTTTCCAGTGGCCTGTGTCTGACAACCTCCTTCTCCAGCTGGTACGTTCACCCAGAGGGTGTTTGATTTCCATGACAGCAGGCGCCTCCAAAGGAGCGCCAGTGTATCAGATGATGGGGAGTGGGGAGAAAGCCTCCAAACTTTCTTCCATATTTATATTTTGTATCAACTTTTTAAAAAAGTCAATTTGGGGGAGGGCTGTCTTATAACACATGACATATTAGTACAGTAAGTTATGCGTACACATCACTTATATAATAAACGTATGTCATTCATAACTAAATGTGTGTGCACTGGGGGGGGCACCAGCAGAAAGCTTTGAGACAAGGGGTAGACAGTAGGCGTGCTGCAGGCTGAAACTGGGCCTGGGCTGTGCTCGTAGCCTGAGTCAGGCATTGGCAGCCTTTCAGCCCCAAGCAGGCAGGCAAAGCCCGCTGTGTGGGCACGAGTTAAGTCACTCCGCGCAGGCACGGCACCGGCTGTTCCAGAGAGAAAGCGAGTGACTGGGACACGTTCAAGCCCGGTGAATGCCAGCCACACAAAGTGTCAGGGCACCTGGCTGAGCATTTGGGGAAAGGAAGTGGAAAGTGTGCAGGGAAAGCCAGGAAAAGGCTTGCACTGGATCGTTGATCATCACAGCAAAATTTGCCATCATGTATTAAACACCTACTACTTGCCAGCTTCTCTGCTGTCAGGGACAAATTATTACATTTCATCTTTGTGAGTAGGTACTGTCGTTAGCCCCTATTTTATGGAGGAGGACCCTGAGGCTCAGAGAGGCAGAGTGACTTGTTTGAGGATACATGAACTGGGGAGAGAAGACTCCGATTTTTAGAGATTCATTCATAAATACAATGAGAGTCCAATGAAACACCTATGGAATTTAAATCATTTATTTGAAGTCTGAACAAACCGCATGCTAGAACTGTACACTAATGATAACGTTTGCTTCTCTGTGTTGGGCGCTTACTCTGTGTCGAGAACCTTCAACCGGCACCTCATTTAATCTCCAAGAGACTCCGGAGGAGGAGGAGGCGACCGACCTGCCCTTCCTCCTCTGCTGCGGGGAATCCAGGACGCTCAGAGCCAGGCGGACCGGGTGGGGACAGGCTGAGCCGCAGCGCACAGGCCCCGCCTCAAGGGGGCGCCCTTTCTCAGCTCCACACAATTGTTCCCATGTTCAAACGAGGCCTTCGTCTCGTCAGATCTTCAGACTGTCAACAGAAGGCAGAAATCTGGACTTACACTTAAAATCTCCTGCTTCTATACCCTGACGACAAGGTTTTAGAAATTTTAAAACTCAGCATGGACCTAACAAATCACATCCACGTGTGATGTGGCTTTGGCCCAGGAGACCTCAGCCCTCGATGCCGACCTGTATTTTTATCTCCTGGTACTGCTTCCTCTGGGGGCGCAGAGATGCTGGGCTGTGAGCGCCGTTAGTGTCCCATCTTACAGCCTCAAGGGAAGCAAGCCCACACCCAAGGCCACTGGGTGTCTCGAAGCAGGGCTGCGCTTTCTCTTGGTTCTCGGAAGGGGGCTGGCCTGGGGCAGCTTTCTTGCCGTCACTCTGAGCTGACTGCAACCGTGCAGAGAGGAGGGAGGAGGGAGGGGAGGGGAGGGGAGGAGACTGGGGTCTACCCAGTCGGCCGGAGCTCCCAGCTCCCGGCAGGAGACCCATCCCGGACCGGACCCAGCTCCCACGGCAGCGCCTCTCTCCTCCGCGCAGGCTAAGGGGTGGCTTATCTCCAGGCCCAGGATGCAGAGGTGGGGGCTGTGGGCCGCGGCCATCCTGACCCTCCTCCCTGCACAGGCCTTTCCGCAAACGGACATCAGTATTAGCCCAGGTGAGCACGGGCCCGGGCCAGGAGCAGGGGGGGAGAGGGGGGACACCTCCCAGACACTTGAGTTGTCAGTGAGGCCTGGCTGCCTGGGCTGCAGGCCTGTCTGACCCCAGGAGTGTGGGGGGCGGGGCAAGCTGAACCTCCTGACAGCCGCCCCAACTCCTCTCCCTCCAGCTCATGCGCATTGTTCTAGGGCCAGACTCGAAGAGTCCTGGTTTTAAACCCCAACTTTGCATCTTAAAAGCTGTGTGGCCTGGCACAGGTTTCTCTGAGCCGGAGCTCTCTTTGGAAAAAGGTGGTCACAATGGCATCCTTTGGGGCTACTGTGAAGGGAGATGAGATAACGTGGGGAAAGTGCTTCACACAGCGCCAGGCACCCTGGGAAGATATGAAAACGGTGCTTTTGTTAGAGATGAGGAAACTGAGGCACAAAGAGCTGAGTTTCTAACAGGAGTCATCTAACTCCAGAGAGCATGCTCTGAAGCTGGGGCACGGAGGCTTGGGCAACTGGGTGCCTCTACTTCCTGGAGTACACTGCTCTCCGCCCCCACCCCTCCACACACCTCCCCAGTCTGGTCATAGAGTCAGATCCTAGAGTGCCCCACCATGGACACTCTAGCCCAATCCCCACCCCCTCCTCTATGGTCACAGAGCCAGCTACATGCTTCCAGAATGTCTCTTAGTATATGAGGACTCATTGCCAGGTATGTTACGTATTCTTCCCTCCAGACTGTGAGCAACTTGAGGGCACAGACCTCAAGCCAAATAGGCACCCAGGAAACACTGTATTACTTGCTTAGTTATGTTGGTCTTAGTCAGCTCTAGCTGCTATAACAAAATACCATAGAGTGGGAGGCTTAAACCACAGAAATTTATTTCCCACAGTTCTAAAGCCTGGGAATGCCAAGATTAAGGTGTTGACCAACTCAGATCCTGGTGAGAGCTCTTTTCCTAGCTTTCAGACAGCCATGGAGAGAGAGAGAGAGCACTCTGGTCTCTGCTCCCTTCATAAGGGCACTAACCCCATCATGGGGGTCCACCCTCATGACATCATCAAACCCTAATTTCCTCCCAAAGCCCCACCTCCAAGTGCTATCACGCTGGGGGAGGTTGGGCTTCAAAATATGGATTTGGGGGGAGAGACACAAATATTCAGTCCGTAACAGTTAAATTTGGTGTTTAACATATTTGTCTTACAAGTAAGAAAACCAAGACCAGGAAAAGATGTTTTCTAGAGGCACTGTAGTGCTTAGGAATTTCTAAGTTTATCAGACCCGAGTCTCATCCTGACACTGCCACTCAACAGTTGTGAGAGCAAGAGATAACCTCTTTGAGCCTCAGTTTCTGCATCTATAAAATGGGGATGATACAGATGATACCCCCTCCTAGTTTGGTTTTGACAGCTATACCAACCATGCAATGAATGGCTGCTGTTACAAGCAATGTAAGAAATCACCCACTGCTGTCTGCTTTGTATAGTGCGACCATGAGAGCAGCCTGGAGAAGGGAAAGCGACGCTCAGGCACGAGAAGCCTGGTCTGCCAGCTCTGCACACCGGAGCCAGGGCTCACTGGGGAGGAGGGCGGTCTGGGAGTGGGATGTGCGGACCAGGAGGCAGTGGGAAGCAAAGGCGATGAAGGTGACTGAGCCTTCCTGATGGCCACCTTCCCAGATGCTGGGAGACACTTCCTCCCAACCCCCTGGGACATCTGGGGCCAAGTAGTGGCATAGGGTGGGGGCAGATGTGGCCCCCAGAGCCTCCCCCTCCTCTCCCGGCTGTCTCCCAAGGCTGATCTGGGCAGCAGGCAACAGGGTAATGCGTTTGTGGGCGGCTGGATTGGGGCCAAGGGAACGAGCAGCCAGATTGAGTGGGAAGGTGAAAATTTATGCTTTTAAAAAGAGAGAGGGGAAAAAATGAGCCCTGAACTCTGCTGGTGTGTCCTCTTTCCTTAACAAGCTCAGAGCTTCCAAAGGCTTTGACTTCCACCCCAGCTGGGAGACCTTGGGGGCCTTTGGTGCTGCTAATTGAAGTAAAAGACCATGTAGTTTGGCCTCCTGGTTTCCAGAGCAACAGGCTCCTCTGTGTACCCCTTCCACCCCCTCCCCAACACCTGCAGCCTCATCCCTCTCTCAGATTCCCAGCCGGGCTGAACCAACTGCAATTCTCCAAATGCTCCTTCTCTCTCATACCTCTGGGCCTTTGCACATGCTGTGCCCACCACGTGGAAGTCTTTTTCTGTCTTCTTCATCTTTCAGGTCTCAGTAGGGGTCTCACATCACCTCCTCCAGAAAGCATCCTAGATCTCCAAATCTAGGAGCACCACTTTTAGGTGCTCCTGTGGCAACACCCTGTATCTTCCCCATCCGGAAGGGAAATCTGGTGTTCTGTTGTAATCACCAGTGGGCATCCTGAAGGCAAGGTTGGGGTGGCCACCAATTCAACTGAGGGGAAAAAAGGGGCAAACAAATGGCCAGTTTCTAAAATAATTTGGGAGTTGCTCCCTCAAGGTTTTGCCTGAATGACACAAGTCCATATTAATTGCATATTAAGCACATTTTTATTTCTGTGCTTATTTTTTTTAATGTCAGTCTCCATAGACGGTAAAGTCCATGAAGTCAGAGGTCACCTCTGCCTAGTTTGCCACAGTATCTCCAGCATACAACCAACTACCTGAGACCAAGTAGTTGCTCAAATAAGACTTGTTGAATGAAGAAGGGAATGAAGAAGGACCAGACTATTAAGACTGAGACAAAAGGAAATGGGCTTAATTGCACCAGGAATCTCCAAATTAGATCTGGAGCCATACAGCCTGGCTGCAAAATCCAGCTCTGCCACTTAGAGGCTGTGTGACCTTGGGCGAATTACTCAACCTCTCTGTGCTTTGGTCTCTTCATCTGTGAAATGGCGGTGATCATGGTACCTACCTCATAGGAAGTGTGAAGACTAAATGAATTGATGTGTACAAAGCACCTGACACAGTGCCTGGCTCAGATGGAAGCTCAGTAGGGTTGGCCCTGGTTGATATGTTGCCATCACTCCTTGGCTATCAAGGCATAAAGCTACAGAAATCCCTTCACAAGACACAGATGAGCAAGGGCTACTTTGGAGTCCAAGTTGATGAAAGGCCTCAGGGATCCTTCTAATCCCAGTTTCTAAAATCCCAGAGGTAAAGGAGGTGAGGAGACAGCAGGCAGGGTGGAGTTCACAATCATCCCAGTGCAAACGAGAGGCTCCTTTTTGCCTCCCAGGTCCGCCCAATTAAAGGCCTTTGCCTGCCCAGGTGGAAAGGGGAGTAATTGAGCAGTGACCTGTCACAGCCCCATTTTCTGGTATGCTTCACCCCAGGCATCCATAACCACCACTGCTCAGTGGAGAAAATCAAAGGAACCAGGGGTGCGGAGGAGGGCGGGAGGGTGGGGGCTGAGATGCTGCATTGCTAACGAGCTCCCTAGTGATGCTGATGCTGCTCTTCACATCGGTCATTGTGCTAAATAATCTGGAAAACCAGGCTCAGTCAACCGCCTTCAGTGCTCAGAAAAGTCCAGGCGCACCATGTTAGAGTCAAGAGACACCAGTTTGGAGGCATCACGACACATGGGTGGTGCACACACCTTTCTCGGTGCTGTCTCCCAAAGGGGCAACTGACCCAAAGAAACCCAAAGTGTTTGATTCCTTAGCATGTGCTTAGTCATTCAAAACTAGTTATTGCGCACCTACTATGTGCCAAGCACTGGGGAGAGGGATGGTCGCAGCAGACATTGACCAAGGGGAGGCCAGACTGAACAAGAATTTACTGGGATGTGTAAATGGTGGATTTGAGGGCTCCTGGATCTCTTAGAGAGGCTCCTACCTCGTGTTCTCTAAAGAAGCCTCCATGCGGCTGAGACTCAAAGAGGAAAGACAAATTGGCTAAAGATCGGCAGGGAAGACCTGGACACACGTTTGAGAGACCACAAGAGTTGGAGCAAATCTGCAGCATGTTGTGAGTGACGGGGGATAAGTGGCAGAAGCAGGAAGAGCCTCTTACCCCAGGGTAAAGCGGATGCCTGGAGGGCTTCTGAGAGATGAGATCAGGGTGTTAGAAGGATCCCTCTGGATTTGGAGGTGACATGAGGCATGAAAAACAGCCAAGAGGCAGTTGACAAGGTCTTTGTGAAAGATGACAGGGGCAGGAAGAATGTTGAAGGAAAAGAAAGAGAAGGGACAGAGAGAGACAGGGACAGAGACAGAGAGAGAGACAAAGAGAGAGAGAAATGGAAAGAGAGAGGGAGGAAGAAGAGAAAGAAGGAAAGAAAGAGAAAGGAATTGGAGAGGTGCTAGGAGATGGAATAGACAAGACTTAAAAAGAGCAGAGGTAAAGGTGATTTGGGGCAAATATCCAACACTGCTAGACAATCCTGGCCATTCCAGCCAATTCTTGTCAGGTTTGTCTAATTAAACGTATGTGTATTGTGTGTGTGTATACACATCTCTGTGCATTTCCCTGAGAAAAGAAAGTTGCTTTAGTCTAGACAGCTACCCTGTAATATTTGATATCAAATAAAACACAAAAGTATTGGAAATGTAATGGGTCCTAGGTTGGATCTGGGAACAGAAAAAGAAAAAAAAACCATAAAATCTGAACAAAGCCTGTAGTTTACGGAAGAGTATGTCCCCATATTAATTTCTTAGTTGTGACAAGTGTACCATGGAAATGTAAGATGGTGACATTGGGGGAAACTGGGTGAAGGGTATTCAGGGACTCTATAATATTTTTGCAGCTTTTGTGTGAATTTAAATTTTATCCAAAATAAAAATGTATGTTTTCTTTCAAGTGAAGGAAGAGAAAAAGACAGAGGACAAAGAGGGTGTATATTTCCAGATCAGACCTTATAGTAAATCAGAGAACAGAAAATGTCTCCACTATAGACATCCAGAAATGCAGACAAACTTTCACAAACATCCTTTGAAAGTCAAGCTGCGCTTCCAAGACAGTGAGAAGGGCCCCCAGGGCCCAGAAACAAAGAGATCGAAACTAAAACAGCAGGCGCATGCGCGGCAGAGTCCTGGGTGCGCTGTCCGTCTCCCTAATAGACGCTCTGGCTTCACGTGCACGCGGGGTAGGAAGTGACGTGAGAGCAATTTGAAGCAGGGACCTGAGACTGACACCCTGTCATAGAGCAGAGACCCCTGCAGAATCCCACGTTTTGGGAAAGGATACACCGGGTGGGGAGGAAGGGAATCCTCCCTTTGTTGAAGAGATGACAAGATTTGTCCTCTTCATCCCAAACTCAGGGAAGAAAAGCAAGACTTCCTGTCCGCAGCATCCTTTGGTGAAGTCTGTACCGTTAAATTTAAACACAGTGTTCTAGCAATAATGCCCAGGTGCTTTTAAGCTGCGGATTTATGGTAGTAATACATTTTAACTCTAAAAATGAGAGAAATAACCAAAACTCTACTTTTCATCAGTGTGTGGCTTAACTTTTGTTAACGAGACTACAGGTAGGCTGAGAAGTGTGGATATTTGCTGTGATGTTTTGTGTTGCTGTACTGCGGGTTATTTTACATTTTTTGGAGTTCTGCTTCCGTCTAGGGCAGGGATTCTATTGACATCTTGGGTTAGAAAACCCTTTGTTGTGGGCGCCGTCCTGGTCATGGTAGGATGTTTAGCAGCTTTTCTGGCCTCTGCCTGTTGGATGCCAATCGCACCAGCACCTATATTTTTGAGAACAAAGAATGTCTCTAGGCATTGTCCAGTGTCCCCTTGGAATCAAAATCACCCCTGGTTGAGAAGCCCTGCTCCAGGATGATCAACTAAGTGGAACTATGATGTGGGACTTTCAGTTTTAGAACTGAGACAGTCCTGGGCACACTGGGATGGTTTGATACTCCACTTCCATCTCTAATATGAATATTTAGGCTGCAAAATAATTAAATAGGGTGGATGGGAATAGGGGAAGTGGTCTAGCACCAGGAGATACACTCTTGGAACAACTAGTCTAGCCAACTCCTGGACAGATGTGGCCACGTTCTCACCAGTGTACATCCTTGGTTACAGTGATGGGTGGAAAACAGATGGAAATGATTTGCTGCTTCTCATGCATGCAAAGGGGGAACTGCTCCAAAAGCAAACCCCAGGGAGTGATTCAGCTGAGTCTCTCTGTATAGAAGGCACTGGCAAAAGTCCCCACAGAGAGTCAGCAACACCTGTATTATAAGGGGTCCTTCAGCCCTCTCAGCATCGAGGCAATGCCCTCCTACCAGTGCACTCAATTCAGAAAGGAGGAGACCCAGGTCCAGAGAGGGGCAGGGATGGGCCAGAGATACTGAGCCCACCTAACTCCTTAAACAGAGTTACCTCCCTTTGCCATATAGGGGAGGGGTAAAAGCAAATTCTGAACCAGGTGGCTCCAGTTTGGATACTGACATGCATTGAAAGGCAGTTGGCCAGGACTGACGGGGAGGGGTGGGACAAGCCAGGACCGACCAGCGCAGCTGCCTAGGGTGGGGGAAGAGCTGGTTCCGGTCAAATAGGGAAGTCCAGTGGTTCTCATCAGAGACAGATAGCGTGGTTGGAAGCTGCTTGCTTAGCATAGCTCTGTTGATTAAAAAGCAACGATCCATTTCCTTCCCCCTGAAAAATTCAGAGGTGCACGCATGCGTACATATACAAAGAGAAATTTTTTATTTTGCATTTAATTTCAAAGGATTTACTGGACCTCCAAAGCTCATCAACCTTGGTTATGAAACCCTGAGCTAATCATTAATAATCATACTATTAGGGAGCAATCCATATAGGGCATGCACTCAGGAATTTATTTGACCCAATTAGTCGGCCTGGCAACCAAATGAAGTAGACGCTAAAACATGATTAACCGTTCTCAATTCCATTGGTTTCCTGTGAAGAAGCATCCTATGGATTTTAAGATCAAAGATTTTGGTGTCAGAAGGCCTGGGTTCAAATCTCTACTCTGCCACTTACCAGCCAGATCATCTTGAGCAAGTCATTTAACCTGTCTAAGCCTCAGTTTCCCTCTATGTGCTTGGCACATCACAAATGCTCAATAAAGGCAATCCACTACTTTCTTATTCATGAGCTCAGCCAGCTCTTAGAGTGGCTTTGAAAGCAAAGATTCCACACCACTGCGCCGCAAAAGGGACCGCAAAGATCAGCCAGTCTGACAGTTGAGCAGGGAAGGAATGTGCCAGCATCATGTGGCATGCCTGGTGCAGAGCTGGGGACCCGGGCTTCTGGACCCCAGTCTAACAAGTGTCACCACTGCCCAGTGCCTGCCCTTGCAGATGAGCCACCTCAAACCTGCTGAGTTCCAGGCAGGTTCTCAGCTCACCTTCCTTCCCCAGTCAGCCATGTTCAATCACGGTTTCCAAAAAAAAGTATATGCTGAGAGGCTTCCAGAGGGGCTGAGGCTTTGAAGAACTTTAGTGTCTTAAACGTGAGATTTTGTTTGTTCCTTTTCAGAGTTAAGAACAAATCCTGAACCCCAGTAGTTCCATGGGCAAAAGATAGAAATCATCTTGGCTGCAGTTTGTCAATAAACATGTGGGGAAATATCCGCCTTCATCAGAGAGCCGAGAACTGCAGATTGAAATAAGATACTTTTTTTTTTTTGCTTATAAAATTTGCAAAGATTACCATTAAAGTGATAACACTCGGCGTGGGCAGGGGCGCCATGAGATGGCCACTCTCAGACATTACCGTGGGAGTACAAATTGCTTTCAGGAGGCAATTTGGCAAATTGTATCAAAGCCTTAAAAACAAAAAAAAATCTCTCCCCAGAAAATCATCAGAAATGCTGTAAAAAGCTTTCTGTACAAAGCTGTTCATCTCAGCATTTTTTTGTAATTGTTTTTTAAAAAGAGGAAGCAATCTAATTATCCCTGAATAGGGGAAAGCTTAAATGAACTCTAGGGGGGGCCACTCAAGGGAGTGTTCAACAGCTATTTGAAACAATGTTTACAAAAATTTATAATGACATGGGGAGAGCTGCTTCTACTCTAAGTTTTAGAAATCAGAATTCTGTCAGGCGTGTACGGTCAATACAATCACATTTGCGTTTTTTAAAAAGATCATTGCATTCAACATGACATGAAGGAAAACACACCAACATAGTAATATTTTCCAAGGATTCTATAATGAGCATATGTTACTTTTGTTTAGCTTTTTATTTTTTAGTTTTTATTTGTTCTTTTTGTTCTTTCTTGGGGAGGGGGTAATTAGGTTGGTTTGTTTATTTGTTTAATGGAGGTACTGGGGATTGAACCCAGGAGCTTCAATGCACTCTACCACTGAGCTATCCCTTCCCCCACACATATATTACTTTTATTATTTTGCAGATTTTAGGTATGCATTGATCATAATGGGACACTTGTTGCTTTCATTCCTGAAAAGATGTCAAAAGTGATAGAATCAGTGTTTGCACCACCAACTTCTTCCCGGTCTGTTTTCTGTCTGCCCCCAGCCACGCCAGAGCTGTCCCGGCTTCCCCATGCCCGCTGTTCTGGATGGAATTCAAAGGCCACTGCTATAGATTTTTCCCTCTCAATAAGACCTGGGCTGAGGCTGACTTCTACTGTTCTGAGTTCTCCATCGGCCGGAAGTCCGCCAAACTGGCCTCCATCCACAGGTGAGTGGACTCCTCCATTCTCTGTAGCCCAACCAAGCACCTCCTTCCTAGAGAATGGTGTTTCCCACAGGTGTGTCTCTTTGGTAGTTGAAGCTAAGCTTTTTCTTGCCCAGTTTGTCATGAAACTGGCCTTGGCAGTAGAGGACAAAACATTTAGGAAGGTAACAAACGGCAGGCTGGGAGGTCACCCTTCTAAGTGCTGATCCGGTGCTGTGCCCTGCTCTGTATCACCGGGGTTGGACCCTATGATACAACTCAAATAATACGCATATAAAGAACATGATATTTGGCATAAAAATGGACATTCATTTGCCAAGAGTTCATAAGCATCATCATATTAGAGCTCCCTCAAACC